AAAAAAAACTCATGCTCGATATCCTTTGTATTGTCCGCCCCTCGGCCAATCACTGAGTACCGTAATTTCAACTTTCAACTTATGCGCGTGATAGGTTTATTGGAAGCCGTTGTATTTTATTAACTTTGGGAAAAGAGGTTTTTATTTTCCCAGCTCTGACAAATGCAAATTAAATTTTCACGCATCTTCAGTGAGTAGCGGAGTCGCTTTTGTCGCTCTTGTGATATCCAGGCTGTCTCTAAAACCCTTAACGGCTCACCGCAACGTGTTTCTATCACCGTGGGTTTTCGGGCTATTTTCAGGCCTAATGCTAATCAGGGATATTTAGATTATGTAAAATTGAGTGCAAAATTCAACTTCGGCGGAAGAGGAGCATAAATAAACTAAAAATATAATCAATTTAACATATCTTTTCTAAAAACAAAACTACGTGCGATCGCTCGCTCTTTCATTGAAAATTTCTAAAAGCAGAATTTTCCATGCGTGTGATCTACTGTATTCACTCGACTCACTTGAGGGTCCAATACCACAATTATCACATGGTTCTCACGCCAAGTACAACATCTAAATAAACATACACACAAACCTGCTACTTAAGCCACATATATGTTAAAAAGTACGAGTTTAAACTGAAAAGAAAAACATATACTCACTCCAGATTTGTGGTCGGTTGAGGCAGATCTCCTATGGCGGTCAGTGTGAGCGTGGACCAGTAAAAAGATTGTAGATATTGCTGATACAGGGAACCGTTCCCTTGATAAACCCATTCATTAGTTCCGAATCCCTCCGCTCTAGATATCATGTAATAAAACGCTGCGTTCCAGTGTATGAGGAGAAACATAAGGTGCATTAGAAAGAACACGCGCAAGAAAGTAGGATAGTTCGCTTGTGACTCCATGACGGATTTAATACGAAAGCTTTTGTATCCCTTAACAATTCGGTTGACTCTGAGAAGCGGAAGAGGTCCAAATGCGGCATACAAAACATCAGTTGGAATCAAGGACACCACGTCCGCAATAAACTCTACAGAGTGAATGTATCGCTTATACACTCGTTTCGTGTCCATTACCAGAATTCCCTCCTCTAGAAAGCCAGTTCGCGCGGCGATGGCGATATCCAGGGCGTAAATGGCATCGCAAAAATAGTCGAAGAGAAACCAAACTATCTTCAAAACGCCAGTCTGGGCTTCGGGAAAGGCTATTCTCGTAATCAATGCCCACAGGTTATAGCGGATCGCAAAAACAAGCACATAAAACCACACGCAAAGATGAAGACCATCTGGATCGAAAATAGGCTTCTTGTCTTTCCAACGAATCGTTTGGTCGTACTCGTATACAGAGCCACTTGCTAATTCACTGTCAATTTCTTTTTCGATTTCTAAAGTAGCGCGGCGCGAACCGTCAGCGGAATTCACCTTTGAGAGTACATTATCAGTAGAGGAACTTTTACTTGATGCCTTAGATCTCTTTCGGTTTGGTGGAGTAACCTTTCTGTTATCTCGAGTGCTAAACTTTTGAAGAAACGGATCCACAGTAACGGAAGATTTCACCGTTGACCGCCGTCGCGATCTCGACGGTTTCACGGAGTTTTTGACAAACACCGCGTTTCGGATTTGCTTAGTCACCGTTCTCCACCTTCCCACAGATTCCACGCTATCGCTGTCCTTTAAAGTGCTTTGTTTGTGTTTTATTTTATCTTCTGTTATTGTGCTATTGCTGTTGCTGTGTCCTCCATTTGATACTTGTCCCGTGTTATGCAGTTCATCTTCGTCGTCCGATTGTTCATTGTTCTCGAACCTCACAGCTTTTTCCATTTTCACCTTTCAGTTAATCGTCTGGCTTCATCCTGATTCAGTTTGTCCGGTCACCCTTGATTCAGAGCTCTATAAACAATTTGTCGCGTCAACACCAACTAATACAGTAAACTCACTCAAGGGATCACAGACGCGCGAGTCAAATCAATTACAAGTCCAACAATAACACTTTTCATGGTATCATACGTAAAATTAGCTTACTGAGGTGAAACGAATCGATTCTTTTCAGCCTCAGGATAACGAGGGGTCTATTTCACTCGCATTGAATTCGCTATTGTTCGTCTATTTTCGTTTAAGGCCTGCTCAAACAACAAGTTTTGATGTTAATGTGAAATAAGGTATTTAAACACTCTCGCGATTCTATTGACGTCGTGTGTCTCAAAGGACCAATCATGTGCCTTTTGTGTGCATTACACGTTTATTGAAAAAACCTATTCTCGACTTTTAGCGAGTCTGTGGATCTCCGCTCTTTAATCATGTTACCTGTAAACCAATTCCATCTTGACTAATTGGTGATGACTCAGGGAAAGCTTACTTAGTGAGATGCAAATACAATATGACAAAGTGAGGTTAAATTTAGAAGAAAGTTTCAGTGAGTAAACTCAGAGGATTAAGTCCCTTGTAAACCGACTAATCCCAAGTTGTTTCCATCAAGCGGCTCGATTAATGTTAATATCTTATCATGTAATTATCCAGGCGATTATAACGACCTGCCCGTGACAACGTGCCATAGCAACGCCATTAAGAATTATGTCTGTATGTACACTACAAGATAGTTCATTGTCAAACGAAAAGAAGAATACATATGAACGGCTTTGTGAACCGATCCTAAGGAAAAAGAGGGTTGAAAACAAGAAAGGTCTGCTATATACTTTCAACGTTCAAATTAGCGTTTTGCAATTGAAATCACACAAAGATCTCGACAGTTTTGTCTAGTTGGTTGAAGTACTGAGTTCCTATTTCAAATTTCAAATTTGGTTTTCACGTATTAATACTAACTTAGCTAAGGGCCAACACCAACAGCTTTCCTTTTACGAAATCACAAAAATTTTTGCGTAAGGTAGCTTTAAGCAACAAATAAAGAACTCAGTTAGGTAACGCTACTGTTCTAAATACTATATATTTTACCTATGCACGAGCAAACCACCAACGTCTTACCACTGATTTTCGTTGTTGTCTTAGTAACGTTTGCTCTTTCTACGTGGCAGCTGTGAGAGATGAGATTTTTTGTACTTTAAGAATTGCTAGTTTACTTGGCCAATTGAGGGAGAATAAATAGACTCGATGGTCGTTCGCCATCATAGAACCGTGTTCTTGATTCATCAGTTTTAATCAATCAATTTGCTCTTACTTTTGAGACATTGTCCTTCGTTGACAATAGACAGTGTCCATTTCGATGCTAATTCAGGCCTGAAATGTCACATCGCTTGTCAATTGCATGATCATTTTAATAATACACTGTTCGTTTGCCAGGAGCTACTGCAGATGACAGAATTTGCGTTGCAAATTTGGAACTTAAGAGGTCTCGATTTTAAGGTCTAACAATGAAAGGATTTGTATGCTGGCCGAGTCATATTTATTCTTGCGAAAAGAACACGATGGTAATTAAAAGACCATCGGGGCAAAACTATTGAAAAAGGACAATTGACACAGTATTATAAATTGTAATTCAAAATGCTTGTAGATTTTAGTCTTCATTGAAAAGTACTTCTAGACAGTAAAATGTATGGTTCAGATTTATATTTTAAGGTAGTTTTCTCGAATAAAATGTATTCTTTCCTGTATGCGACAATTTGTAAGAACTAGAAATCAATAAAAACCTGAAGACATTAACATGTCACCTTCCAACAACGAGTTGTAATATTGATTCTTGTACTTTTAATTAAACATTTTGTTCGCATCCGTCCGTGTATTGATGAGATAGCAAAGGTGCTTGGAGCTCAGTCAGGAATTGGTTTAAAAAGATGCTGCTCGCAAAAAAGCTAGAACTTTAAAAAAAAGTAAAACATTGTGACCTCGATGATTTGGTGGCGAATTGACGTTTTTGAGTTAATTCTTACTCGACTAAAGCAGGTAGCACAATAAAAAGTTATCATTACTGTTTTAGTTAAGACAGAAGAATGATTTTAAAGTTGTCACTGTTACAAACGCTCTAACCTGTAAGACTTATGAGAAGCGCAAAGCAAACCTAGTTTGAAGAAACTTGTACTGCATACAAGTCGTAACGAGAATGTATTCTAACCATTGTTAAACAATCACACTGCATTCACGTCTCGCTTACCTCAGGCTTGCTTCCATCAGGCTTCAAGTGAAATAAATGAACTCTATGAATTAAAAAGAGCTTATCGGGGACACTAATCAGATCGGCCTGTTACGTCACAGCTGGAACAAAACCCGCTACCTTAGATCTTGTGATTAAAACGAAACTAGTTTTCTCTCCATTTAACAAATTGCTCACTACGATGTATTTCATTTACAGCAATCGAATTGGCGAAGAAATTATCGCGATCTTTGTGTAAGAGTACAAAAGATTTACCTTTTATTTCGTGTAATAAAAAACACATTTTTCCCGGTGTGCTTCTTCAATCAGTAATTTGCATTTATTTGTCAGTGCGTATCGCCCGTTACGACAGTTTGTGGGAACAAAATGCACCAAGCACTCTCAGTTGCTGAGAAAAAATAACACCCCTTGCAGATGTTTTCGAAACGTGCTTTCCTGTGCACGTACGATAGCAAATTTGCACGTAACAGATCCTGAAAAAATCAGCAAGACTGTTACTCGTAATGTCTGGCATCACGAAAGCTTGCTGTTGCGTATTCGTGAAAATCTACCACGGAAACATTCCCATAAATACTCCATCACGGAGAATTAATAAATCAAGGTGATTAAAATCAGACGAGCACTTAGTCCCAGAACGTGTTTCTATTTTATCTTATGTGTTGTACGTAGGCTTTTTGGTGATCAAAATATCTTTGAGTTTCCTTAGGTCGGCCGTTTTCTTTGATATGGAAATTGAAAACGTTTATTTTCTCGCACTAGTCCTTCCCAAGAGCAATCTTGAGAAAAGATAATTTTCTCTATTTTTTAGGTCAGTTCTCGCACTAACTCGACTTTTTTTTTAAGGAAAATGCGCTGCTGAAAAAAAAAAACAATTGTTGCCCTCCAGCAGGATCGTAGATAAAGTGCCAATTACGCAGTTACATATCTGTGATGTAATTCATGTATGTTTTTTCCTTTGGAAAAAAAAAAATTGAAAATCTTCGAGATGCACACCGTCATTACATGATGGCTTGTTTTAAATCGGCGACCGAAATCAAAGGTGCTTGATATAGCCTGAATTCAACGGACAACTATACTCTGACAAAGTTCACAGCCATAAACCAATCAACACCCAATGGTTGATCACTCAACATGTAAGTGACGTGATGAGACAAAGCAGGCGGCAGAAATCATTTTCACAACTTATCAATAACGCTAACTGAACAAATAAGCTCCCTAAACCTGCTTTAAGAGAACTACTGGGTAACTACAATCTTTAACGTTTACAGTAAACCATTTCATCTCTCACTCCTTCATTTTCCATTGTTTTCATGCGTTAGTCAGGACAATCAAGGTGCGGGTACTGGTTGTGGGTTGCGGGTACGGGATGCGGGCTATCCCAAACAAGAAAGTGTTTCAAGCCCACAGTGAAGTCGGTTTTTTCGCTGTCCAGCACACAAGCGTTACAGTCAGTAGACCAAACTAACGTGTTTTGTAAACATTTATTCTATAGAACATACCTTTTTACAATTATCGGACAAATTCATTTTATACTAAACTAAATTGTTACCTACGATTCTCGCATTCTGTTGTGATTATTTAGTGTCAATCTGACCAAGCAGAGCATTGCCCGACTAGAAAGCGCTGTATGATTGTTAGGCGGGTCAGAGTTGCGGTGAAGTTTGAAGTGATTAAGTTTGTTGTGAGAAATACAAAATGGCGTCGACTAACGGTGGTCCTGGAAACGAGTTCTTAGAAAAAGCCCATTTAAAAGCGCATGCGTGCCGCGCGCACGACAAAGTTTGGTTTTTGACGTCTCTTTGACAACATTCTGATGGGTTTCGTACTTTTTGACTAATCAAAACACAAGAACTATGGAAACCGACAATAACATGCCACGGTCGAAAAATACAACTCAACGTGTATTGGTCAAAGATGGACGACGAAAACCTAACAAAACATGGAATAAAACACTTCAAGGAGCTACGTCACGATTTGCGCATCTAAAAAAGTTTAGCTTTAAGTTTTCAAGTTCGTCGTTTGTAATCCGTTTTAATCTTCTCTATCCTTCTCAAAGTAATAAATAGCAAAGATTTTGACGATTTTACTTCTCCGTTTTCGCCTTAGTTTGTTACGATTGAAAAGGTATATCAAACACTCGGGACAGTGTTTCATCGGCTATTCAAACACCTCGAATTTCGTCAAAAATACACCGCTGCACGTCGTATTTTCTGTTTGGACATCCCGATGAAACACTGTCTCTCGTGTTTGACATATCACTTAACCATCCTTGTTCCTCTATGGTTTATGATTCTATTTTTTCTATCATAGTAAACTACTTTTTTCAATTTTCCTTCAATCTAAAGGTAATTTTGTACGTCGCAAAACTGACTCAAAATACAGTGACTGAGCTCCTTTCAAGCTCCTTTAAAGGAGACAAGGTATTTCCAATACAGAGACGCTTATGTGCGCTTATAACGTCTACACAATTTCAAAATCTTATCTTTTCATGGAAATACGTAGGACTACGCTGAAACCTTCACAAAAAGGCCAAGTAATTGTTTACAGTTGTCCGATTTGCGATTAAATTTTGATATTTTTGCGGGGGCAATTTTGTTTCTGAAGTCGCGCATGTGTATCCTACGACATTTCCCCTTTAAACTTGTCGGTTTTTAGAGAAGACATCCGGACGTGTAGTAGCATTTAGGCGTTGAGAAAGTACTAGCTTGCTTCTGAGGTCAGCATTTCAAAACAGACATCACAGACTCGCACAGGTTTGGTTAACTCGTATTTTATGATGGGGATCTGTTTGGATGAACACTTGGCACAAAGAAGGCGACCGCAGTGACGACTGAAAAAACATATACACGAAGAAGAATCATGAGAAAGTAATAATAACCAAAAAAAGATAGGTGACTTCAATGACCCAACGGAAACCAAATCTGCAGCATTACCGTAACAGTTCATCAATACCAATGTAACCTCCCTGATGAAACGAAACACTGCGAGAGTAAACTGTCTCGCCCAAGAACACAACACAATTACCCAGGGCCCAGAGCTGGAGCCCAGACCCTTCGATCCGGAGTCCAACACGTTAACCATTTACCCGGCACCACCCCCGGCTTGCACTTTGCCTGCTTAAGCATAGGATCATTTGGGGGTTGCGGCTGAAGTAAATAGTTCTTACTGACCAGTGATGTTTTCGAGTTTTCACGGAGAATTTGATAGAACACTCATGACACACGGGTCCGTCAATCCACTGCGGCTCAGCACTCAGCATGTCTTGAATAGGAAAAACAATTTAAAAAGCATTTCAGATATAATTCATTCAAGGCTGGAAAATCTCAGAACTCAAAACAGATCGTGGTTTTACATTCATTTCAGTGATCTTTGACCTGCATCTAATTTCTCATAAAAAATCACTGCAAAGCCATACATACCAGTTATAAGAATGACACAACTAATAATTAAGGAGTATCTGTCTTGTCTCATGCAGTACACAAGCAGTCTCTCTTTTCCAACGTAAAGCGTCCTGCAAAAAAGCTCCCCCTCTTTGAATTCTCACGAGTTTTTTCTTCGCATTTCTCCGTTGTGATCCATATGGCCGATAACAAATACAGTTAGACTCCCCTAATTTCAACTCAGTTATTTCGAATTCCCCTTTAAAATCTATTTTCCTTGGATTTGCTCTTCAGTCATTTACTATCGGCTATTTCGAATCCCCGCTATTTCGAGCTGTTTTTCTCGTCCCCTGAGAGTTCGAAAAGGCGGGGATCAACTGTAACAACATTATATACTTACCCAGTAACGTGTAAAGAAGCTTCTTTGTTGGTACTTGCGCGTTAAATATCGACACTCCATGTCTGTTAATGGTGGCCAGGCTTCCACCTGCCTTCAGCAGCTCACGGCACAATCGAGCCGCGCCATTGGTGTAAGCAAGAAACAATGCTGCGAGAAGGAAACGTATACGATATCACGATTGTACAGGTGTACTGAAATAACTCTTCCGCTTAATCACTCGGTGCTACGATAGTTCCAGATATGACACTGAGATACTATTCAGTACGTCAGTACGTTCCTTTCATCAGTAGCTCCAACCAATAGTTCGATTTCCGAGTCCAGATGCCAAATGTAATTTTTTTTTTTTTGATTTTGGTCGGCTGAGTTCTAAAACTGTTTCACAGACGGAACTTCTACAGCTTTGTACTAACCAATCAGAGTGGCTCCATTTCATTTCTTGCCAATCAGGTCAAAATTTCAACCAAATCGCGATTTTGGCCATGCATCTAAATTTCCCACTCTTTATACAAATTGCAGTCTGGACATTCTTTTGGCAGAGCGTATCCTAACAAGCTTTTTGGTGTTATTTTCTTTAATATTATTGGATGAGAGAGACCAAGGGGTACAAATATGATGTGACGGAACACTAGGCGGAACGCAAGATACGAAGAGGATTTCAGGGTTAATTAGTTATAAATAATGAGAAGATAACATTGAAGAAGACATTTCTGTCTGACACTGCAATCTACAGGGTTTTGTCTAGGGAAACATTGCTTTCAAGATGTCGCCCTCTTTTAGCTTTAGATTTTCACCGTTGTTTTTTTCCCGTTCTCTAACTCGTCTATGATCTTCTCTCGACTTATGACTAACTCTCGAGCTAAAATAACCACCGCATTTAGCACTCCTTTCAGCGTTCCACCATACTTGTTTATTAAGTCTCCTTACTCTTAGCCCACATCATATCTTTTCAAAATAATAACTCACCGATGTTTTCGTCGGCATCAAGCGCATTGATGGGATAATCAGGCATTGACTGACGAAACAATTCAAATATGGCCACAGCGTTGTCCTTGGCGTACTGCGCTAGAATGTGAAGTGGATTCTGGCCTCTAGACACACATGAAAAAACACACAAGGAAACTTTATTTAAGGAGCTTTGTACACCTTTACCTTTTTTAACATTAGAGCTGATTAGCAATTGTAGTCTTTCCATTAGGAATGACAATACCAGTTGACTTGCCAGCATCTTTATATTACAGAATATCCACACCTATAAACGCTCTTTGGACTTGTCATGCAATCTTTCCTCCCCTCCACCGTTAGGGAGGAGTGCGTAACGAGTAATAACAACGAATGCACAGGAGGCTAACACAGTATAGTCTCACAAAGAAACAGGGGCGTAGTTTTTCGAGGAGCGACAAGGGTTATGAGGTCCACCCAGGGTTATGAGGTCTTCCAGATATTTATGTAACCAAAACCCCTTATAAAGTTGTATGAGCCCGGAGCGTATAACCGGAAAAATAAGGCACTTACCTTGCATTAAAAGCTTCCGCATTTATAGATGATTCCGTGAGTAGCACGCGAACAGCCTCCACGTGACCACACTGCACTGCCACGTGCAGAGCTGAAAGATAATAGAGGTTCATTGACGTAAGTGATCGAGCAATGTCCTGTGAGCCTGGACCTAGTGATCTCAGAGAACTGTTCAGGAATGACTACAGTAAAATCATCTACAGTAAACTGGGCAAAGAAATAAACAAATAAGTAAATCAATCAATCAATCAGTTAATCTCCACAAAAGAATAATGGACGATGATGAATGAAATTGATGACAATGGGCGACAATGTTTAAACAAAGGTAACTTGTAGCTCATCTGTAATGTTCAGAATATTTTTGTATCACATCCATCAAAGAATTCCATGATGTTAGCGTTTTGAGCCATTCCATATCTTTGTTTAAAGAATTCAATACCCGTGTCCTTACAGCAAATTCATGCCGTTGTTTTTTGAAGTCCTTAAACGAGTTGTAGTCCTTAGAAGAAGTCGATGCCGTTGTTTTGCGTTTTTACAGGAATTTCTTACCGTTGTTTCCTCTCTCGTCCACAGCGTCTGGATCAATTCCATTTTCCAGTAGAACACTTATGATAGACGCGCTGTTGTTAGCAGCCGCCATATGCAATGCTGTTTGACGATGCTTGTCGGCATCATTTACTCTGCTGCCCGCGAGGAGCTTTAAAGACAAATAAAAGCAAATCACAAGAGAGTAAGGCAGAGCAGATCGTATATTTTCAGGACGGTAAGCACAAATAAACCAAACCCTTCAACGCTGACACTCGAGTTTGAGGTACAACCCACGGTTCGCCTGCGGAGGATACCTTACCAAACTATATTTGTCAACAATTTAAGTTTTAAACCACATAGTGTGTCGAAAGCAAATTACCAATATCTTACCAAGTGTCTCACAATAATTTCTGAGCCTGCGCTAACTGCCAAGTGCAGCGGCGTTCTGTGAGAAGAGTCCTGGATTCTAGAGTTGACATTGGCCGACACGCCAATAAGAAACAAGACAGTCTCGACGTCAACGTTTTGTATCGCCAAGTGAAGGAAGTTGCGGCCCTTGGAGTCGAACTGGAAATAAAAGTAAACAGTAAAGAATTGATAGGATATATAGGAAACAACTTATTAGCTAGTACTTTTTAATTTTTTGACCTTTAACTTTGTTTTTCTTATATAGAGTTACAAGAGTTGCTTGCCCCCGCAACTAATTCCAGAACTAAAATCGAGGCGCGGGCAAGAGTTAATATTAAAAAAGAAAGAAAGAAAGAAAAAAACTAATGATAATTTACAGCAAAATTACAAAAGGTACAAGTAAAACAATAGAAAAACTACAGCTAACAGAAAACAACATAACAGTGTAAGTTAGCAAGTTTGAAGAGTAAAACGTTAATAGCAAAACTTGCTTTATAGTGCAATGTGACATATTGTTTCTCGAGTAAACAAGCTTCTCTCCTCGTGCAGTCAATCTCATCTCCCCTCTCACCCACCCACAAATCGACGGAGAAGTCGGAGATTCGGGCAGAAAAATCTCATACTGAGGACGTAGCTATGCAAAAATCCTTAACTCTGATTGGTTGTTACTTTCGCGCGAAAATTCAAAATCAACCAATCAGCCACTGCAGGTAGTATGGACGTTTCGGTCACCAATGTCAGTGCACCAAAAGAGAAGTCTGAAGAAATACCCCAACTGTTACAATCCCCAGTACCCGCCCCGGCCGCCATACGAGCTTTTAACAGCTTTTTAAGGAGTCCATAGTAGTTTCTTCGTCACCTGTTCAGCGGCGCCTGGTTCACGTGCCAAAATAGCTCCTGCAGCCTCGTGATCACGTGTTCTCAAAGCAACAGCGAATGGCGTCTGACCTGAGCGGTCCGTGACGTTCATGTTTAGTTCCGGATGGCTGAGCAGAAGCCTGGTGACGATAGGATGCTTGCTGGTGATTGCGATATGGATTGGACTACGACCCTCAGAGTCCTGGAAAAGATCAGGATGATAAATATTCATCCAATTCATCTCAAAGGTTTATTCTTGAGCTCGACTAAATTATACAACGCTTAAATCATGGTTCCCACGGACATCACTGTTCAAAATTCTCTGATTTTTCCCTGATAAAAACAAAATTTCCCAGACCAAAGAAATACAAAATGTCAGATCTAGTGTTCAAAAATTTTTCCTTCTTTACTTCGTCATTACGGGAAAAAATCGTTGAATCACAGTGTCCCCATATCTTTCTTCCAGCCTTCGATGGTATAGCCGGGTTACTAACAATTTTCCCTGATTTTCCTTCAAAATGTCAATTTTCCCTGACTCAAAATAAAATTCCCTGACTTTTCCCAGACCTTGAAGAGTATTTTTCCCCGCCATTTCCTGACCTGTGGCAGCCATGTAATTTTAAACTAAAAAACAGTCACATAAATGCATGGCAAACCTTGCTGTTGACGTTCACTTTATGCTCGAGCAAAGATTGTAACACGTTATCCAAGCCAGCATCACAAGCTAAGTGAAGAGGAGTCATTCCATCCCAGGCTTCAACACCTCCCTCCCCGTCAGGACCGGGCCGCCGGGGACTGGAAAACAATGTCATTGAGGTCAGTAAATTCCAAATAGTCCATTTGAATTCCCTCACTAAAAGAAAATATCTTCAACTAGGAAAGAAGTTTACCTGTTGATGTCACAACCGCTTCGAATAAGGAAACACGCCGAAGGCTCGTCTCGATCAGCGATGGCGCGATGGAGAAGAGATTGGGTACAACCATTAGGGCCCATATTCCACGCGTCTGTGTCACAGCCGTACAAAACCTAGTGGTGAATTGTGTAATTCAATATATGTTCTAATCCACTAGCTTTTTTGCCAATATGGGAAAATAATACGCAAAGTACAAAGTTCAGCGTTACAAAGAGACCTTTTTGTACAGGCCGTTGCATAAAATTCTTTAACATTAAAATGAATTTGACATTTCTGGAATACATAATGGTGCATAATAACATATTTTGCTTACCAAATATGTTCACAAAGAAAGCATTGACCCAAACCCTTTTTTCCTCTGTTCTATTTGCTCCGTATTTCAGACTACATTATGTTACTTTGTAGAATTGCTTTCTTCAGATTGTATCATATTCTCGCGTTAAGTGAAAGTATAAAAGTCTTAAGCGAGATAAGAGAACAAGTCTCTAGAAAACATCACAGGATCTGAAATGGGGCAATAAACAAATAAACTGAGCTGAGCCACAGACCTGTGTCTTTGACCACGCCAATTCGAGCTCACTGAGGTTGTAAAGACCGATGTCTGATGACGTCTCTTGAGCAACTGGCTAACAAACTGGCAAAAGACAAGCTTGCTCCACTTAATTGTGAGCATTTTCTAGAATCCATTTGTTTAACTCACCAAGGTGGAAGCAATATCTTGCTGTCCACTCTTCAGCGCCACCCACAGAGGACAATTGTTCTTCTCATCGCAGCTATTTAAGTCGGCTCCTTTCTTACAAAGCGCGTCTACCACTGGCTGCAGACGGCACTGGATTGCTAGTTGCAGCGGTGTCTTGTTCTCCTTGGTCCTTGAACAAAATTCACACAACAGTGAGAAGTAAAAATAGCGCGAGCAACGCTTACCTCCCTGTAACGCTAGGTCACGCACAGTAGCGCCAGGTACAGTAGCGCCACGAGCAGTAGAAAGGACTTTACACGTGGACCAAAGAGTCAAAGAGAAATACGCTGCATTTGAGCTACTGGCGTGACATACTTGTTATTGATATCTGCTCCGTGCTCCAGTAGAAACAAAGCACTGGCGTTATCTCCTCTCCTCACCGCCTTGTGCAGCAGTGTCAGACCTTTAGTCGTCTGTACCTCGATACTTGCTCCTGCATCAAGCAGTCTACTGGCTACAGATATCTGTCCTGTACACAGGGCTAGCTCCAAAGGCGTCTGATCCTCGCTGTCTGACAAGTTGAAGTCTGGTACGATGGGAAGGCGACCACCCCTGCCGAGACTACCTGTGAAGTGAATATGTAACTTATCTAACGATCAGTCCAACGAGATACGTTAAAAGATATCTTCCACACAAGCAGACTTCTCTCCCCCGTTTCTCCCCTTGCAGTATCCAATCCAAAATTCAAAAAGAAGAAATCAAAGCACTTAATTTCCGCGGAATCTCTTTAATTCGGCCATTGAAATCTGCTTGTTTTTACTGGGCTTCCATATCCAATGAGCTTACAAATCAAGGAAACGAATAACTATGCTTTCAGTGACACAAGCTAAACATCACACTGATCCCTATGACTTAAAGAAGACAACTACAGGACAATAAAAGCAAAAATCAAATTATGTCTTGTGACATACCAGGGATAATTATAGTTTAGTTCTTAATTTCTTCTAAGGATGTGACCGGTTGTTTGCAGAGGAAAGAAGGACTCACTAACCTTGAAAGTCTATAAAACAATTCACGACATCCTCGTGTTTGTCGGCTACTGCAACGTGTAACGGAGTTCTTCCGTGGCAGTCGATGATCACAGCTTTGAGGTAAGGATCTTGATAGAGTTGGTAGTCCTCAATCAGCGTATGGATCATGTCTTCTGTAGGAGTCTGATCCGCGTCAGCGTCAGCGGATGCACCTACTGAACTAGCTTCACTGGGAGAGGAGTCTGGTATTGAGCTTGTCTCTACCCAACAAAGGACTGGTCATTAGTTTGTCAGCTCTTGCAAAGAGGTGGGCAAAACACATTACCGTGGAACTCCGAACGTAACGGGCCACGTCACGGTTACTGTCGGATTTAGCAGGCAAAAGGGGCCGTATGTTTATTGGCCTTGAGTACATGTGACGGTATCGCCCAAGAAAGTAGGTACTTAAAAGTTGTATACTGTAATGTAAATACCTTGGACGCTTAAAAAATTCGGACGCTTGAAATATTTTCGGACACGTTTTTGTCCGAAATTTAAATCGTCCGAAATTTTATGCAAGTAATGGATCAAGTAATGGTCTGTTTATCTCACCTATACTTGTATTCTCTTCAAAAGGATTGCCACCAAAAGATAAAGCTGAAGCAGCCGCTGACGCAGCTCTTATGTCATCCAAGAAAGGATTAGCACCATCTTCAGAAGAGAACGAGAAATCCGGTTCATCAAAAGGATTCGTGCTGTGACCCAGGTCTGCCTCGAAGGAGTTCATTTTATTTGATGTGATGGCCGACACAGGCGGTGCGGCTTTCGGTTGAGGTGAGGGTAACTTCTGCGCCTTTTTCTGCCGTTCCGCTTCTTTAGCTTTTTCTGCAGCCTTGGCCGTTTGGATTTCCCGGAATTTTTCTACGGCCTTTTGTCTGGCTTCTTTCTTGGCTGCCTCTCTCGCTCGCATTCTTTCCGCGGCTTTAACTTTCATCTCTTCTGTTTCTGTGGTTTGGGCGTTTGGATTTGCACCGCTGAAAAAGAAAAAAAAAAAAACAAAGATAAGATAAGTATTTTTCTGTATAACCTGAGGTAGCGCGTTCAGAGACTGAGAAACCGTTTGTAAAATAGTTTGTTGGCTTTTAACTATATTATATCGTTAATTATATTGTTAGGCTTTTTAACAGTTCATTAGAAAATAGTCAATAGGTTATTATGTTAATTATATTAAGTGTCCCCATCGGCTAGATGTAAAAACACATTAATAAAGTTTATGTATGTATGTCGCCAATCAGTTGGGGCCACTTCGGGGTTCTGTAATAAGTCTGTATACGAGCCAAGTGGCCCATCAGGCTGGCGCGTATCCCGGTTTCTGTACTCATGAAGCGAGTAGGAACATTTCTACTCCCCCCTGGATGGGATGCTAGTCCATCGCAGGGTTACCCCCAGCATTAAATTCGCCGGTACTCATTTGTACACCTGGGTGGAGAGAGGCACTGTAAGAGTAGAGTGTATTGCCCAAGAACACAACACAATTTCCCCGGCCAGGGCTCGCAACCGGACCGTTCGATCCGGAGGCGAGCGCACTAACAATGAGTCCTCCTCCCCACCAATAGTCTGTAATGATTACAGACTATTCAATTTTTTTACACTATTTCTTGGCAAGCAAAGTTACTGAAGAAGACACGCATCTAAATAGTAATTTGTCGGTGCCTACTTGTTAAGAAGTTCAGACACGAGTCTCGCCAGGCCTTTTCTCGCAGCAACATGCAGAGGCATCTCGCCATGCTTGTTGGTGTGGTTTGGTTGGGCTCCGTGCGAAGCTAAAAACAGACCTGCCTCCTCTCGACCAGAAGCAGCCGCCATATGAAGCAGGGAATCACCTTAAGTGAAAAAATGAATTAAAACAAAATTAAGTAATGACTGAAAACAGTACTGGTAAGATTAACCGCTTCATGTGAAGTTCAGTTACATCGCACTGCCTGTCTATTTATCATCTTTGTGTCTATCACCACAGTTGACATCTCGACAGAACTGATCCCAGCAGCATGCAGGGTGTTATGTTCCATGTCACACAATAACCCAGCAAATGATCTAGCGTGTCTGCCTACGTGTCTACCAGTACCTCAGTAGGTATGGCGCTCGACCAGAGAGATCAGAAGGTGATCAGATGTATTCGTCTCCCACACCTGTTTTTTTTTTTCTTCGTTATTGGTGTCTGTTTGATTAAGGGGTAATTCCACACAAAGTGTGATAACGAGTCACGAAACAAAATTTATCTACCCTTTTAAAAAGAAGTGAATGTCACCGATTTCTCTCTGCATTTTGGTTCTTCCAAACCCTGGGGTTCTGTGTTTGAGTTAGCTACAAACTGTCTGGTGACAAACTTCGGCCTGGAAATGTTACGCATTCAAATTTCTCATCAGAGTGTTGGTTCGGCTGAGATAGACTGTTCACGCGCTAGCGTCCACTTCTCTCGCGATTTTATCCGCGCGTTCAACGATCGAATAAAACTACGAGAAAATAAAGCGCTGTGAACAGTCTATACCTGGGATACAATCCTACACTTTTTTTCTGAAGGATGAAGCTTTATAAATTCAGTAAATTTATAATCTGTACAGATACAGTAATAGTGTGGATCATCTTCAAAATCAACAACAACAAAAACAACAACAACAACAACAACAACAACAACAGGAAGAGAGACCAGTCACCTGTTATATTGTTGATAGCGTCAGGACTCGCCCCATGCTTCACAAGCTTTGCCGCCAAGCTGTCTTCATCCACTGGATCAACTCGTGTGTCACGTGATAACGCCAGCCACAACGGCACCCGGCCCCCGTTGTCACGCAGCTCAAGATTGAGCCTGAAATGAACGGCAAATGAGACCATGCAATCAGCATGGAATATCCCTGAAACATACTCCAAGTAGTGCTTTCCATCTTAACACAAGAACACGAGATTCTCAGAATCAAAAAATAAGATGAATGCCAGTTTCCAGTAAGGAGAATTAATATTTTAAACCCACTCACTTGGCTTTCTGAAGAAGAACGCTAAGAACGGCATCATTCTGAGCTTCTATGGCTCTGTGTAAAGCAGTCCTGAGATATGAAGACACACATGGACACGTAAGATATTGGCAGTTAGGGAAAAAAGTCATTTTTGACAAATTTCCATTTAAAAGAGCTACGTCACAATTTGCACATCTTGAAAAGTTTAGCCTAAATGTAAAGTTTGTTGTTGGTAATCTGCGTCAATCTTCTCCATCCTTAACCATCCTTGTTCCTTTATGCTTTATTATTAGATCTTTGGTGTTTTTCTGTCGTAGTAAACTACTATTTTCAGGTTTCCTTCAGTTTAAAGGTAATTACGTACCTGGCCAAAATAACTCAAAATAACATGACTAAGCTCCTTTAAGCACTCAACAATCATTACACCACCATGATGCAATCAGTTGCTTAGCAACTGATAGCCAAATTTCTTTGGGCCTTGGCCTCTTCCTTTGTCTAATTTCTTAAGCATGAAATTCACTCAAAGCATCTGTCCCATGTTGAATAAATAGGTGTAAGCAAAATGTTGGGGAAACTTGACATACATGTAGATTAGCCTATGTAGCAGGCATAAAATGGAGGAGACAGGAGGAAATGCAAGGAGAGCAAGGATGGAAGGAAGGATGGAAGGAAGGGGTATGACAGAGAGGGGGGACGCCCATTATAAGACCCTTCCCCTACTGTGCATTGGCAGTTGCCAGCCAATAAGTTTGAAAATACTTTTAACACATAAACCTGGTTTTCACCTAAAAAATTGTTGGAAAAGTTCTTCCATGTTACATTTTCTATTGAGCCAGTACACAAGCAATGCTTTCTACACTCACCTCCCCACACCGTCCTGCGCATCAACATTGGCTCCATTTTCAAGGAGCAGAACAGCGATTCTTGCCATGCCCTCTGATGAAGTCATAGAAGGTGAATTGGTAACTCCAGTGGAAGCTGAAGAAGCTGACCAAGGCCTGCATGTAGAAACAGTGCTACGATCAATGAAAGGGGCTACCACTGACCCAATGGTCATAGAATTTACTGAAAAATCACAGTAATGGCTAAAGAAACAGAGAAAACCCACAAAGGGGCTAGGATAGGCAAAATTGAAGAAGATTAAAACAGATTGCATTTGGGTAACCTTAAAAGGCATAAACCCAGCTTTTTGCAAGTTTATCTCAAGTTTATCTTGTCAATGTTGTACTACTTTGCACAGTGAATAGATCTTCAGTCTTACTATCTTTTAAGTATGTCTACAAACCTCTGGGCCGGGTTGTTCAAAGCTAATTAAGCCAACCCAGGATTAGTGAGAATTTTGATTTGAGTTTTGCAACTATTCAGTGATGTTTTCTGTTTACATTGTTTGTCCTTTAGTGTTGAATTTGAAAAATCTCAAACTATGAAAAACATATGCAGTGAAAAACATTTTATATCCAAGAAAAATTAATACTTCAGTTAACTTTTAATCCTGGGTTAGCGTTAACTGGCTTTCGAACAACCTGGCACTGGTGTGCGACAACTCTGTTTTAAATCAAATGAAAGCTACTTGTATTGAGCAGCACTTTCACATGATGTTGTTTTTGTTCTTTCTAAATCAGTATGAAATGTAACTGACAGAACTTTATTTCTCACTTGTATGAAGCAGCCAAATGCAATGGCGTCACATGTTCGGTGTGTGTCGCTGCACTTCCTCTTGCTCCATTCTTGACCAAAAATGTTGCTGAAAACTCGTCGCCCTGCGTGATGGCCTTATGTAACAAACACTTGCCATCATAATCAGCCATGTTGACATCACAGCCATGACCAACCAGCGTCTTCGCTATGCTTTCTTGTTTTTCAGTGAGTGCGATGTGTAGTGGGACCAGTCCACTGGAGGGTTCCAATTCATTAAGCTTACCTGGTAGCTAGAAAAGAAACATGTAATGATGTAGATAATGACAATAATTATTATTGTCAACATAAATAATAAAATTAGAGTTGTCCAACGCTTCAATATTGCTGCCATCAGTATCAAGGTAAAAATGACAGTTTTATCACAGTGTGAATATAAATTATTGGAACTAGTATAATAGACATTTGCTTGTAATCTCACATAAAAAGTGCCGTGCTGATAGAGTCAGTTTGCACGCTAAAAGTTGTCTCAAGATCTTGAATAATAAACATTTTGTGGATAAGACAATCACTTTTGTTGCAGCATTTTTTCAGTACTGAAAAATTGTTAATTAAAACCAGTTTTGAGATCCTGGACATGTCAAACATGTGCTTTCCAATGACAAATTCAGGGTAGTGTATTCAGCAATATGTTGATGTAAGTGTCGGTTGGTGTTTATAAAATAATAATCATTTGAAAATCATTTAATATAAATACAGGTTTATCTCTACATACATGTAGATGCACTCCACAGTGTATTGTTCCAGAAAATATCAAACTATCCCTCCCCTGGTTTAAACTCCCTTCAGACCCTAACCCCAGTCACCATTTTGATAACTTTTACAACTGTAACTTCTACAATAGACCATTTCTAAGTTACCTTGTGCCTTTATTTCAAAACAAGTCCTCATGCAAAACCTTTCATTGAAAATGAATTTGATTGCATAAAATTGTTTTGCACAAGGTTCAAGTTGACACAGAGGCAAAAAGGCAACTTGGAAATGGCCTATGAGATAAGACTTTTAAATGCTTGCTGTACTTAAAAACAAGAAAAAAACTACAGAATGAGCTGCCTCTTAATTTCTAACAAAATTTATAATTCATATCATAAAAGGTGTTTTTTGGTTTACCTGTGAGTTGAACTCTATAAGGAATAGAAAAACTACATCTTCTCTGTGATGTCTGACTGCAAGGTGAAGTGGAAAGCCAGACTTTGACTTGAACATTTCATAAAGTAGCGGTGCACTCATACTGCTGAAGTCCTCTGTTTTCAGGTCATGCTAAAGGCATGAAACATATTCAACCTTTTAACAAATCCACTCAAAAGAAACATAATCCAGGTCTAGAAAATAATTAGTAACATGCATCCCTAGTAATGATATGCATGAAAATTAAATTTCTCTGATAGCATCATGGAGGCCCATTTAGGGGGTGTCCGAGTATCGCAATTAAATCCTGTTAATTTTCAGCATAAACATCCTGTTAATTCCAGTTGCAAAAATTAATGATTTCCCTTCTCAATATCCAATTTAAGCTGATCTTAATATCCCATATCCCTGGCCATTAATTTTTCCTCCATATATCCTGCATCATTCCCGTTAATTTTTTAACCAAATATATCCTGTATCTTGAAAACCCCTTACAGAGCCTCATCATGACAGAAGCATATGATCATCATGATTCATAATAGACCTCAAATGGACATGATCTTTCGTGAATATTTAAACAAAAGACTTGTCTCACTACTTCATGTATGTGAGTAGTAGACATTGCAGAGGAGAATCTGTATGTCATCAAAACTTCACCAACCCAGTGATTAGAGATGATTTCTGCACAATACTTCTGCAAGTCCTTGGCACCTATATCTTCAGCTGTCTGATAAAACTTGATACAGTTCGATACGGACACTGACGACATCAACATCTTCTCGCACCTAGCAGATGAAAACAGGTTTTTTCAACATTGGAATCAATGATGTAAAGTTTATATGAAATAATTCAATTAATTGAACTCAATTAATTGACCTCGTTCCCAATGTGTGGCTTCATAGCTCAGTTGGNTCTTCACTTTCATTGGAATCAATCTTACTGCTGCAAACACATTGATGCTCCCTAGTGATATCAATTCATGGTCAGCTTATGATGTACATGAGACTCATTTCTTTATTGAATGATAGTGTTAAGAGAAAAGAAAAATGTACTTCATGTAGATCATGTCGATAAGAAGATTGTATTTGGTTTAAAAATACAATAATAATAAATAAATTTTTGTAACTAATTTTTACAAGGCTTAAAGGGTTTCAAAGACTGAAAAAGCAAAAAACTAAATGTTTTCAACATTACGTTAACTTCAGGTTACTTATCCTGAAAATGACTTCTAAAAATTAGTTATAAAATATCTCCAGCAAATATCATGGGCATTTCTTTTTGTGCTACAGTGTTTTCACTGAAGGCTAAGCTCATTTTATAGTCAGCTATGCTCAGTTCCTTTTTATCAACTACTTTCTATGTTGAAAAGTTTTTGATTTGTAAGTACATTCACTTGACCATGCCTGTTTTTTGTTACTGTACCTTTCCTTTAGCTCTTTAAGTCTGTACTTTTTTGCAGCTTTAACCAGCTCTATAAGGAAAGCTTCATCATGGGGGATCTCTGCCTGGTCAGTATAGACCCACTTCATCAATGTCAAGCCCACGGATGAACTTACATCTAAAAGGAACAGCCTCCATGTTAATATAAACTGATAATTACTATATTGTTAAAAAATGCATAACACAAAACCATTGTTTAAGATGGCATTGAATTGCAATGAGCATATAGCACTATAAAGATGATTTCCAGCGCAAACTGCACAGTCTCAGCACTCTAATGTTTGCGAGTCTCACTCGATAGAATGCAAATCGATGTCATTCGTTATGAACCACTTATCTTATTTTTGAGGTATTTTAAATTATCTTTCCTACAGTTTTCTTGATTTTTACAGCTACTAAGTTGTTTCATCAAGTGATATCAGAAAGAACGAAACATCAACCTTTGCCTCCATAATAACAGTTAACATGAAACTGAATTTACATCATGAAAGTAGTTGCAAAATGTTACATTTTAAGATGTCTTAAATGAATCAAAACAAAAAACATGAACAGACTCTCGAGAGAGCTCAATAAAATGACAGTTACCTTGTTTTGTATACTCATCACCAGTTGAGAGTGATTATGTGACAGTGAATAGTTTATTACATGATAGTATTAGTGGTCAGGAGAATTAAGCAGAAAAAAGATGACAATAAAATTGCAATTTTAAAGGAAGATTTAATGTTACTGTAAATGCGTAATTTTGTATATATTAAACACTGAAGGCACTGAGTCACCTGTTAATTCAAGTTCACTGATCTCATTCAAATCTCTGTTAGACCAGTGATCCCCACGTGCCGCCAAAACAAACTTGTGCGCTTTAATTTTCTGGTCCGCAAAACATACAGTGATGTCACTGTAGATACAGTACATGTAAACAAAAAAATACAATATATTTAGTGCATCTGTTAATCAGCAGTTTTTGTGGTTTACAGTGCTACATAGATTGGTCTGGGATTAGTTCTAAGAAGTAATACTGATCTTATAGGCATCACCTATATAATAAACTTACATGTGTATAAATATGACAATTGTTATTAATAACTACATGTACTTATTAACTAAGAATGAGCTCTTTACGGGAAATCTCAAGTCGTGACCTTGCCTACATGTACATGTATTGACCAAGCAATAGCGAGGTCATTACGGCAAGGCTGAGGCTTGAGATTTTCCTGTAAGGACTGAACATTCAAGGTTAATAGGTTATTTTAGTACATAGCTTTTTGCTTTAGTTTTGCAGGCCCATAATCAGCCCATGAGCATTATGGGAGAATAATACCCTATAATTGGCCAATCAAAGCGTGTGTTATATGGGCTACAAACAAAAGCCATATAGAAAAGAAAGGTATTACCCATAATAGGCTTACAGTGTTTCTAATATCAAACAATCCATCTAAAGGTCATTCCTTCAAGTCACTCAGTCTTACAAAATCCAGAGTTGAATGCTGCCCTTAGTGATAGAAACACTTGAAATGCATTACTGTATTTGTCATTTATGGAAATCCTCTTTGACAATGACATTTTATTTATTTTAGTCCTCATCTCACAGGTTATTATACAACCTGACTTGTTTTACAGCACTAGGCATGATTGAAACAGTCCTCTGCACCTGTACAAATCCTTGTCAAACAGTTCAGCAACAGTTTTCAGTAATCTGCTGACAAAGGTGTTTTCATGTTCTCCAGTCTGCCCAGATGTCGCTACTGCTACACTGTATTTCTGTTCCAGATCCACAAGCTTGTTCTGTAATTTGACATACTCCTGACGTAACAGGCTCAGGTGCCGTTCAAGCTTGGCCACCTGACCTACGTCCATTAACAAGTCAACGGAATGCAATAAAAAAACAACATCAGTGCTTGATACAGAAACTCAACAGCTTACCCCCNCACACACACACACACACACACACACCACCCTCTTGACCTCTAATGGCCAAGTCTTATTGTTGACAAATGAGCAGAGTTTTTAGTTTCTTTTGCGCTGTGTTAGCGGTTGGTTATTGAAGCGTTACAGCTGCTCATGGACGTGACGTCGGGACGAAAGATGATTTAACGGCCATTACTTCCCCAGTCAAAATCTTGAACCATGCCAGAAACATTGATTCTTGTATCATCGAGTGTGTTCACGAATCACGCGACGATAAACATGTTTTGATTCCGTAAATCTATTTTATTTTAAAAGTGAAATGTATATAACGAAAAAAAAAGATGTAACAAGCCATAGCGGAAGGAAATCGCTTATCACTGAACGCACAAAAGAAACAATGTCAAGCAAAATGAATGACAGTGCTTGCAACGTCTACCGGCGTGATCGATGTGATTTTAGAACTTTCGATAACGCTTCAAAAAACAGGCACTTTTCAAAATGCGCTTCTTGACGAATGTTTAAACAAGTCCACATGCAAAATTTACAATATAAGAGATCGCCGCACGTTTAAAGACAAAGTTAAACACACTCACCTTCGTCCGCCATCTTTGATCTTGATTCTGCGCACTAAGTAATCTATAGAGGGCAGAGGAGTGGGGGTCATCGGAGGACACCGAGGAAGGGTGGGTACAAAGTGATAATGCTTGTTCCTCATTTCTTATGAAGTGAAAAGTCATTTAACCTTACTCAATTTGTTTGGATAATTGTTTTTTCCTCTGGAAGGAGAATGTTGAGAGGGAGGGGTAGGTTTTTCACCCTTTTCCTACAATGTACATGTACAAGCTTGCTTACTGCCAACGAGCTTAATTGAAATATTTCAACAAAGATGCCACGTCTATGAGAGAGGTGAAAGAAAAAGTTTTTTGTTCGCCACATCAACACAATACAAATTGTCTATGTACGCAGTGTATCAATTTTTATTTTCGTTGTTCATTACTAATTCTGGTGACTGTTTTAGTTCCTGCTCCACAAAATATTTAATATTAATTTACAATTAATATTATAATTCCTGATCATAAAAAAAATTAGTTTATCTTAATTATGTAGATATTACAGGTCAAATACACATTACTCATAGTCTGTGACGATGAACATTTGTATTATTTACAATATAATTTTTAGTGTTTTCACTGTAACTGTTGCATTTCTTTTCTTGAATTTATAACATGAATGATCTATACAAAAACTGGATCATTCCAAACAATGTAAAAATGTTGAAACATTGCATTTATAGATGCCAGATGTCTTTGCTGAACAGCAAAACAAAGCAATCGGTACAATGTCATAATTTGACCACAAACAGAATTCATTTTGCTTTTACCGTTTTTTAACTTTTGAAATTGGATTGTGTTTTTAACGAGAACTACTCAATCAACATGACAAAAACAAAGAAATTCTGGTAGTTGAAGTCAAGTGACATTAGAATACAAATTGCCTATTGGCAAAACCTTCTCTGGGGCAGATCTAAAGGGGGTTCAGGGGATTGGTCAAACCCCTTAAATTAAAGAAAAAATGAGACATCATAGCACGCTGACTTAGCTTCAGAATGCCGGAAATCCCATTTCCAAGAACCTCAATTTTAAAAATTTTCCGGGGGAAGAAGCCCCAGGAATCCCCTACAAAGGAACACCTTCAGAAGTCTGCATCTCAAACCCCATTCTCTAAATCCTGTATCTGCCCCAGCTTCTAATGCATTGTTTACTCATCTACATGTGTTTTAAAATCTTGGTACAATTCCATTGCGCTGGGTCTTGATTTCAAATATACCAGAAATCATTCAAGACAGAGGCATGATATGCAAGCAGTCAGAAAACACATTTTCATGGTCATGGTAAGAGAGTATGTTATGTGCATTATGATGTTAGAATATTCCTGAATACACCTCTATGACTTGAGACCATCATGTTTCCAAAATTCTTTACATTTCACCCATATTGAGGCACTGTAAAGTTCATGAAGATATCTGAACACACTACTGTGTTCTGAAAGATATACGCTTTCATCTGTTTGAGCCCAAGACCTCGCCAGGGTCCTAGGTTGTCCTCTTTCCAGACTTGGAGTTGGAATGTTCTCATACATTGTGCGTGCATTGTTTCTTCTTCGTTCAGATTTTGGTCTCATATTCCGTGGCAATGCTTCACGCTTTACTCTCGTAATCAAGTCAAAGTCATCCTTACTTCTGGATGGTGCATTTCCACTCAATCTGCTAAACAAGTCTTCATTATGCATGTCTTCTAACCGTTCAAGATCAGAATAGCTCAGGGGCATAAGATCTGGGGAGTGTTTAGGGAACAAATAGAAACCTTCGTCTAATGAGAACTCATTTTGAATCGGAATCTCGTCATCATCATCATCATTATCATCATCAAGGTTTATCAGATTACCGATTGCTGCGTCTGTTCTACTTAGACTGACATCACCACTGCTAACAACTACTCCATCTTGCCTCTTGGGAAATTCTAGATTATCAAGTGTATCATTTTTACCGACCCTGCGATCTTCTGTAGCAGTTGCAACAGGCATGTGGAAAATAGGCTCAGCATTCGATCTGTCCTCTTCAGTATCAACAGTGTTAAAGTTTGAAGCACCGGAAACGTTCGATGTTAAATTTGAACTATTGTTGCTCGAGCTTGAAGTAACAAGGTCGTTCTCCTCCGATGTAAGCTTTTCTAATGTACTTTCAAAAGACTCCACCATCATTCTCAAGTATTCATAACTCGAATGGGTGATCGCCCTCATCCAAGATTCCATTTCTTTCGAAGTGTCAGCACCGAGGATGTAAGTTCTCGAACCATCTCCGCCAAATGTGATCTGGAAGGCGTACGGTTCCCCGCTTTCCGCTAACTCAACGTGGCAATTGTCCAACACAATGACTCCAATGGGTTCCTTGTCCGATCGTTTCTCGAAGTAATACAAAAGATTGCCCTTCAAAATAAACCACCGTCGCTGATAGCCTCGGTTGAGTTCGCCTTTCTTGTTCAGGAAACCCTCTTTGTCGGTTGGGGCGGAGGAAGTAGAAAATTCAGCAACGCACCTCTCGTTCAGTCTCATGACAATTAACTTGATTTTTACCCAGCTCGTACAGATATTTTATCGTATACGCTATCCCTTAGGAAATAGACAAGGTAAGCTTTCAATATTCAAACAAAACCCTTCAAAAGTTCATAGGTGTTCGTGGTCGAATCTGGAACCCAGTCAAGACCAGGCGCCATATTGTTGATGATCACGTGACCTTACGGACTAAAGAGTAAAACTGGGCTCGATTTATTTTGCGATAACCACAGAAATTCTCGCGCGCTCAGTGGCTAATTTTCATTGTCAATAAGCGGACGGACACACGAATTTATAATTTATGCGATGCGTCAACGAGCGAGAGCGAACAAATTGACAATTTGTTATCGTAAAAAAAATTGACGTTAGTTTTTAATGCGTCTGACAAACAATAGACTGCAAGGCTGACACTACGTGAAAGACGTTTTGAGACACCAACATTGAGAGCCGATAGCAACAGTGGACAGCTGTTTCGTCCTTATTCAGCTTATTGCGACTCATCAGCACTGTGTGGCGAAGATATGTAAAACAAGGCATGGCGTTACATAGCTTCGCTACACAGTGCTGATGAGTCCCAATAAGGACGAAACAGATGTCCACTGTTGCGATCCAGCTTTATCGGCCCTCCGATGTTGGTGTCTCGAAACGTCTCTCGCGGAGTATCAGCCTTGCAGTCTATTGTTTGTCATCATATTTTTTTGGCTGAGATTTCTTGTAGATCCTGCGTTAGCAGCGTTTTTCGTATGCGGTCTAGACTGCGAGCGGTCTCTTTTTTTTATCGAAAATCCGTAGGGAAGAACGAAAAACAAGTAAGCTTACGAGCGTGACTGTGAGCGTGACGTGCGAGCGGCGATTCCGCCTGTCACGCTCACAGTCACGCTCGCACGCTTAGTTGTTTGGCGTTCTTCCCCAAGGCTTTTGAGGAAAAGAGAGACTGCTCGCACTCTATATGCGGTCCCTTGCAGTTTCTGGTTTCACATTTAATGCGTCTGTCCTGTTATTGACAATGAATTTCGTCATAACATTGTCAAGGTAGTCTGCGGATCCACTCGGAATGGGTCTACAGCTCCTTTCACGATGTTATGACAAAATTCATGACCAATAACAGGACAGACGCATAAAAATCTGACGTCAATTTGTTTTTTAAACAAATGTACGACACGTTCTCGTCCCCAGAGGCCGCGCTCCTTTTGGTCAGCACCGAGAGTTCACTAAGGATGAAGAGTAAAGCTGGGTTCTAATCTCGTGACAAGTCCGAGGTAGGAGAGGCTATCAAGGCCGCGTGTCTGTCAGCTGAATATACAGCAATGGAGTTTATGCAACTTCTTCTCTTTTTGCTCCCGGTTTGGGCCTGCCTTATTGAAGTGGATGGAAAAGAGAGCGTCGCTTCCGTTGTGTTTGATTCTGATGGCCAACTGGTGATAAACGCGGGATATGACTCGTCCCAGCCGATGGTGGCTTGGGGTAAATTTCGTGACGAAATCAATTCCACCGGGTAAGACGAATTTATCTTATTAGTTATAAATTCCATGTTGTTTACTTGATGTATTTCGACGGTAACTATACCTGTCAATGTATTAAAAGTGCAGAGTTGCATAATTGTCAAAGTTTTGCCAGGATGAGATGTAGAAAGGGAGGTAACTCCGTAAAAACTAAAATCTTAAGTTAAGATTTTTCGTCTTACCTCAGCACGAGAACAAAAGCGGACGTAAGTTGTCAGCTATTGCTCTGGTGCTGAGGTAAGGCGAAAAATCTTAAATTAATATTACGGAGTATCCCGT